GGAGAAGCAGCTAGACCATGCCTCTACCGCCCGCTTATGGATACTTGTAATGCATTTCCCACATCACGCGCTTGACATTTAGGAACACGAAAAGGTCACACGGAGCCAGGTCTGGATTGTAGGGTGGGTAACCAACCTTCTGGATACGTTCTCTAGCCAGGAAATCTGCGATGACATGTGACCTGTGTGTAGATGCATTGTCATGGTGCAGCAAGGTCCCTCGTGCTGGAGTCCTTGGACGACTCCTGGCTACAGTTTACAGCACTTGTGACTGTCATTGGGTGGTATACCAGTCTCCGGTTACTGTGCGTTGCCGTACGAGCGGTACAGTAGCCACATGACCGGTCTTGACCACGAACACAGCTACCATCTGCTTGGCCACACTGCGCTCACACCGGAATTTCTGAGGCAGAACCCCACCAACGGCCGCCCACTGCTTGGTCTCTGGATCGAAACTGTACACCTCGGTCTCATCACGGAAGATCTCCCAAACAGCATTGGAACATCCATCAGACCTGGCAAGTCTGGTGCGGCACCAATTCACCCGAGCTGCTTCCTGGTCCTCACTGAGCAGATGGGGTACCCAGCAGGCGCAAACCTTTCTCAGGACGAGGTTTTCATGTAGGATGGTGTGGTGTGGTGTAATCACTAACAGTACTCTATATCATCGTCTTCCCACACGTTAGCAGAGAAATTTACTTAGGTTATGTGAATTTCGCGCCCTTGTGGTGTTATATTACCACATTTCGCACATATTTGAATCGTTTGTAGTTTCGCCGTATGGTGCACTGCATGACGGTTTTTATCTATACACGTTTATTTCTCTGCTTAGATTCACTCTTCCGTGACTTAGGCTTTCTAGCTTACACGTTCCTGAAGCCACCGGTTCTAGAAGTGACTTCTGAAGTTTCTGTCGACCTGTGAACGAAAGGATTACGCCCCCGCCTTGTAATAAATAAACCACTAAACAAAGCTTTTATCTCTCTACAGTGCGAGAAACTGTTCCCTCATAGGGAAGCATCAGCAGGCATACAGTTTTGTTTACAAACGATATCATTCGAGATAGGACTGGAGAGGAATCCTTCAACATACCGGGTGGTAAAGTGCAGTTTCACACATTCTTGGGGTTCAGGGATAGATTCTCTTCAGGGGTTCCTCCGGTTTATACAATGGTTTTCATTGCCTGCTCCTGTTAACTGTTGTCCCATCGAAGTAAACCGGCGCAGTCAGACCATCAAACTGAAGTGAAACTCTATTGGCTAAAGCTGGTATTTCAATCGCCCACTGACGCTCAATCGAACTTCATCGGTCGACTTCAACGTGTTCCGAGGCTTCAGTTCAAAATGGGCTCGTGCAAGGAGGGGAAAGGACGGTAGTATCAAGGCAGACAAAAAACGGCTTTAACTTGCCTGTCAGCAAAAAGAAATAAAAAATATGAAAGTCTAGCAATGGGGGGAATTTAGTAGCATTATTTGCTGAGAGTGCATACAATTTGGCAAGTTCCTGTTATACTTTCCACTAGCAGTTGATTTTAAGCGTCTAAAAGTGCGGGAGTATCCTGTTAAACCATTTCCTGAGTGAGAAAGAATCCAAAATCAAAAACGCACAAACCAATAGTAATGCCCTCTGGCAGCAGATACGATGAGAGCGAAATCGCTGGGAAACGGATAGCATTTGGCGAGTATCTGGGGATGTGAAAGAAGAAAGCATATATGATGTCGAAGAATACACTCTGGTACTGATGAGTAGAAGTTGTTTATATTGAAGTTAACTGGTTCTTCCCAGTAGCTCACAAGCGCGTCAACCCAAGCACCAATCCGGGAAAGCATCGGAGGATTGTTTCTCCCTATTGGGGCTCCTCAGTAGTGTGCATTCGCTCCAATAAGGCAAAACGATCGTCTTGTGCTTTTAAGAATTGGTGCTTAAATTGTCGCACTTGTGAGCTGCTGGGACGCTTCAGTTAAACTCCAAATTGTCGTGCGATGCCCTGCACGTTTACTATAGCACAGCCCTGCCACACTCAGCTGAGTTCACCGGCGCCAGTACAGTGTCTAAGCCGAACAGCACAGTTGCTATGCAGACAAACTACTCAGTTCAGAGCGAAGCTCTCCCTGCGGAAACTGCCGCCAAGGGCCCACTTACCTGCACAGATCACAACGGAGTTGTCCTCAGTGAGTATACAGCGAACGTATCCCGCATAGTTTCCAATGAACTCGCCCTAGTCTCACTATCGTATCTCCCGGACTCTCCTCAAGTCAGCCGTCTGTCTGCTGAGCCGTGTTCATGCCAATGCCTTAGCCACCGAGCACACTCATCAACTCTGATGAGCCCAACGTCTCAACAGCATCGAACCCGCCCATCTCTGCCCGGAAATAGGACCACAACATGGCATCTCCTGTGCCAACAAACATACACCTTGCCTTATAGTTTATACAACTAATACTGTTTTAGTGAAACATCGATAGGAAAGTGTAGAAAACCCGCTTGTCTTGGTTGAATTAGTAAACGCACCCTTACTATTGGTCAGTCTTCCTGTGGGTCTCGGTATAGTTGTGTGGCATTTACGCGTTCGTCTACCTTCTCGGTTACGAGTTCACGTTTGCCACGTAAGTCCACTAGCCGTTCCAATACGCATTCCGTTTTCAATTAACAGACCATCCCCAATCATTCTCCTGAAATGGACGATTCGTCTAGGCTACTCTGCGCGTGGGAGCCAACGAGTGAAGGAGTTTGTCCGTTCCGACTAGGACAGTCGAAACCCAACTGGGACTTACATAACAGAGACAAAATCGAAGGCGTTGTCAAAATGACCATTTGGCTGAAACCTGTGTATGTAGGGATTGGACGACTACGGAGTCATAAGATAGGGATCACCGCTTTAAGCTCGCATATGTGCGATCGACCTCACAGCATCGCTAACCCGCGCACGACTAGTGGTCCCATGGCAGCGAAGCATCGGTACGGTGCGCCGATGTACTACTGATACCTTTTTCTAACGTATCTTCTTGGTTTTCTAGGCACATTAAGTCCGTTCGTGGTGTATATATCTGGTTGCCCTAGCTAGGCTCGTTATAATTCGCTTATCTTTATTTTGTAATGGTCGTCTTCCTTTCACTAACCCAAGCTTTTCTCCTTCACTGGCTATTCAGAAACCCCTTGGATGAACGACTAGTCACCTATGTTCCAACCCTAGGTACGTGACTATTTCCACCGTACTTTACGGTAGAACCTACGTCTTACACCCGTCCGTTTCGTTGAGCTAATACTGAATCCATTCGCAAAGTCACTCACCACTGATTATCACTCGGATTTCGCTGAGAAATTTGCTTACTCATTCACACACACACGCACAACAAATGTGTCTAACTGGAATGTGCACGTTCACGACAAAAACTGCTTTTTGTATCTAGGGCCAGTTGGAACGACCGCGCATTGAATTCCGCAGATTGTTGTCGCTCATTGTTTCACCCTGCGCTTTGACACCACTCGCCGATTCCAGAGTGTGATATTATTGCCAGTTTGGTTTCGATGCACCGTCTTGTTTCAAATGAAGAGGCACAAACATTTGTGTTATGTTATACAGCGCTACTGATGTAACGATTGGCGCACCAATTCTGTTGGCCAGCAGGGTATTCTTCGAAGCGCCATGAGCGATCCGTTTTGGCGTTCACGTAACCCTTTTTAAAACAGAATACATCCATTTCAGGAGTGTGCTTGGGGATGTTCCGTTATTTAAAAACGGAATGCGAATGTTAGCGAACCAGTGTGTATTAAGGTCGCTATTTTGAGAACTGTACGGTTTCAAACTCCATGCTCTTCTCTTGCTGTCTAACCTGAGAAAACGGGATTTACAATAAGGAGCTGGTAAAACTACATTTATGCCCTGTGAGCACATAGCGCTCATTTCGAGCGATTGGTGTTCTCTTCCTTCGACTCTTCATTTTTTCATATAATCCACAGGATATTGAGGTTAAATGGAAGTCACTCCACCCGGCACCTTCCGCTCAGCAGTCGAGTACACCGGCCGAAATCCTTTTCTATCCACAAGCACTTTTTCCATCCTTTTGGATGCTTATACCGCGAACCGCAGTCAACCCGTTTTCCAACGCATTCCTCCTCAGGTGGAGAACGCTTCCTTGACTTTTACTTAGCATGTACCACCGCCTCTTCTTCGGCTTGCTTCCGTTTGTGCTCAAGTATGTGTACGGGTTGCAGCCGGTCGTAGGTTTGCATATGTGCTGACCCATCCGGCTCGGTCAACTTTTACTTTCCACTGTCTCCTCTGCCCTTATTAGTCATGTGGTTCAACCCCGGTTGCAGATATTCTGATCGTTTAGCTCTCCTTTCGAGTGACTTTCGGTCGCAATGATTCTTTACTTACTTGATGCCCGTACGTCTTCGGCCGTCTACGTTCATATTCTCCTCATGTGCGCTTGGCCCTAAACACTTGCCACCGACCCCACAAACCTCAGCTGTGCACTTAGGTGGCTGAGTTGGAGATGCAGATTATTTCTGTAGTGAGCGTGCCGAATTCCCATCCACTCACTCACCAGTCTCATTCCCGTGCGCATGCGTTCTCGGATCGAAGACACTTGCAGATTCATTGTTTGCTACGCACAGTCACTTTTCAGGTCTGTTCCACTACTACGGATTAATCAGAAAGCGAGTGTCACAACCGTTGGTTCTTTAGTTTTTAACCCGGTTCAACGAGTGCTGAGCACTACTCGACCGACTTTGATCACGTTGAATTTTAGACATCCTCTTTTATTAGGACACGAGTTTTTTTATACGAGTCTGGAGTTGGTACGTCTTGCGCTTGCTGTGCTGTGATTACACTGCACGGCCATACACTGGTGTTCGCGTCGCATCCCCCGTCACCATTCATAGCTCTGTTATCAATAGGCAACGAGTCGATCTATTACTACTTTTAAAAAGAATATATTTTTGTGGCCTATCATCAATCGACGTTATTTTTGTGGCCCGATCTTCTTCTTTTTCAGCTGGATCATCGGTGCGTAACTCTTGGGAAAATGGTGCACCAAAGCGTTGGTCAACCAACAATTCACATCGCAGCGATCGCCCGTCTTCTACTCTTGCATGCGTCACCAGCTCTAGCGATGAAGATCTGAATATGTATTCTGCAGGCTCCGATTTACGAGCTGATTATGATCGTGCAGTCAGTGCCATATATTCCGGCAACTCTGCTGATGAATATCCTGCGAAGGTTAAGCCGCATATCTCAAAGGTAAACTCCCACTACTCATGTATTGGCTTCATTGCAATGCTGTTTTCTTTCTTCGCTTGTGCTATGTTAATACTTCTTTCTTATGGTACGTTAGATTTGCTCACTTTCAGTGATCTACTTATAAGTTGCTTGTTTGGTGGACGCCATATATCGGCATGCACTCTTCTACAATTGCATGAGGCGTGTTCTTTTCCTGGTATCGACTACTAGGTTTGTATGCCTTTACGCATCACTACACATCGCAAGTCAACAACTATGTGAACGAATCGAATTCCTATAACAGTCTACGCAATAGTCGATTTTGTGCGTTTTGCGTTCTATTGAACTCGAGTTTAGTATGCACATTAAATTTGAACGCTAGCCGCCAATGAATGAGAGACGAAACAAGTAGTCGGTAGAATGTAACCCTCCAAACTCATAGGCTACAATGATGCTAATAATATGGTTGTGATGTTATTAAGCTTACACTTCTCGGTTTTTCAAGAGGCTGTCCGTCTTTTAAAGGGGTACCCGAACTGATTGCGCCAACCACACAGGAATTAGTCTCATCTGTGTTGCTTTCAAGGTGCTCGCCGCTCTGCTTTTAAGGAGGCTCCGCCTGGTACGCGAACGGAACATATGTGAAGAACAAGCTGTTGGACATATTAACCGCAGATTGTTTGGAACGCACAGCACTTGGTGTTTCTGCCTGCTCCTACTGCGTGTTAACTCGCAGTCCCATTGCTTTTCCGATGACCTTGGTAACATCTTCCTCTTCCTGGCGTGTTGGGAACTCCATTTCAATTGTGAGGATATGGATGAACCGACGCCCTGCTTGAGCGTTTCCGATTTTCATTTAAGTGCATTTGCATTGCGTATGATTTCTTGGTGATATTTCCTTACGATTTCGCACTAGTTCTCGGCCGTTCTTAGTAGCACAGAATTTGATTGTAGTCGGGAATGATGTGGCACCTTCTAATCCCGTTCCATACTAAATCTTGTGTCTTATTCTCTACTTGCGAAGACTGTTCTACTATCTTGTTACTTCCCTGATGCTCAAGTGAAGGTCAGACATTCACTTTGAATGACTCAATTTTTCCTCACAAATTTAGCTTAGACTCGCGTACCACTGTTCGCTACATGCAGCTCCTTCACGCTGGTGTGGCACTTTTCGGGCGAACAGACGAGTGCTTTTACCGAGTCACTCCTGACGGTCAATTTGACATGTCAAGGACATTGCGGTTCAAAAGCAACCTGAACTTGAGACTATTCAAGTGCTAGCGCCGCAAATCCTATTCTATATCCGTCGAGTGACCTGGAAACGTTTCATTGGGACTCACTTTGAGTGAAAAATGGTCTGTGCTAACATGGAAGTACCCCTCGAGTATGTATGCGCTTAATACACGCATATCGTTCCCCCTGCATTTGTGATGTGGTCAGATGCCACTGCACCAAATAGCACGCATCTGCATGTACCTTCCCATGCCGAGACCAGTGAATTCACACCAAGCACCAGGTGCAAACTGTAAGCTTACCGGGTTGGTCGCGAAACCTCGCGAGTTCAGCAATCGTTGAATGAAAGAGGTAGTGCAAACTGACTAGCGCCACAACTCCCGGGACGTGTGCACTCCTTAGAGCCGTTATCGGTGGTGCTTGGAACTACATCCACATTATAAAACTGTCTAGTCCGTTGGGCAAACCGTATTCGATTGCGGCCTGGCTGATCACAGTCGAATTCTGCCGAGCCACAACGATAAGTCGGTTTAAAATCGTTTTCTAAATCTGGTTCCTAAAACTATTTAGGTTGTCTGGAAGATTCTTGCTGCGTACCCAAGTTCTATCGCACGGCTACATTTCCAAACGGGACAATTTATTTGACACGGTTGGTCCTCATGCTTTGTTGCCTATAGTGAGATACTGGCGTCTTTGGAAATGGGCTCAAGTCCTCACTCTCCGGCGCAATTGATATGGATTGGCCATTGGGGAATTAGCTCTGTAGCGAAGTCGATACACCAATCGTTGCCCTCCTCGGTTTGCAGCTAAAAGCAGGTCCAAAATGGAGAAAACACTTTCGCAAGCATTATAATAAGTTTGGTGCACATACCTCTGTCTTGTACCTTTTTTCCTGGGCCAACAGCATGCAGGTTACCCGTAATCGTTAATCGTATTCCCCGTCTTCTGGTACCCGTTTAAGCTGATCAATCGCCCTTATCTCTAGCCACGCCTGTTAGCAATTATCTTTCCAAAAAACATACAATTTAACTACGTGCTGTGTACCCGCACACTGATTGATCTGAGCTGACAATAAGTTACGTGACAAGTTTTTTGTTCAATGATAACGACCAAGTCGATCACTCCGCTCTAATCGGACTGCCTATTTATGTGTGCTTATTACTTCCTTTACTTATTGTCCGTTCGCAACACTGATCTCATCATCGAACTCGTGGTTACTTAGACGCTAGCCAGAACTTCTATCCCTTTAGCCCCAAGGCACGGTGGCCTACGCTTGTTGCCACAGTTAATGATGAATTGGTGTGTCATTTCGAAGCACTGTGTGGATTGCGACGCGTATCCTCCATGTGTGGACCCCAATTCGCATTGAAGTGAACCTTGATCGATTCGGTCGCTAGGACCTTAGCAGATGTTAGTCGTTTACTGCCACGTTATTTGTGGGGTGAGACTCGGGGCATTGAACTGAACCGCAGGAATTCGTCCAGCCGATGCCGCTTCATGTTTGCGCCTTAGCCGGCTGTTTGTTGTTAGCAATAGCCGTAAATTTTTCATTAAGAAATTTAGGTCTTAACCTGAATACGTTCGTAAAGAACTCATGAGTTCGGACGAAAGATGTCGGATCTTAAGATTCAGTCGGATGGTCAGTTTCGACGTTAGCTCAGTCTTTATCAACGTATGAATATGTGATGCGTTGCAGCTAGTGAAACACTGTTTTACTGGGGACAATAATTTGGGCAACGCGGCGTAGCTGACGGGAATGACATCATGTCCCTACATGTCTTATTTCGCGTCCCAATCGAGATTATATACTCAGCAACATGGCCTTCCTATGGGATCGTCAATATCCCCCGTATTGATGAATTTGTACGTGGAAGATTTTGAAAGAAGGACGCTGACTGACTTTAGTAGTTCACCGAAAGTTTGGTGGTGCTACGTGGATGGCACATTTGTGATTATAAAATAGGATAAGGTCAAGACCTTGACCTTTTAAAACTGTAACCTTATTTGTTCCACGGACCTGGGTTATCTCACGCGATCATTATGCTAATTGCTATAAAATGCCAAACCAAATCTGTACTAGTTCACTTGACCTGAAGAAGCTCTTGGGTCAATGGCGAAAGGTGGTCACAATACAAGCCTATGGAAAAACCGATTTGTATTGTAAAACTTTGGCAGTTATGTCATCCCAGTCGGTTCCAAGTTTATTCCAAAGTAAGCACTTGGAGTAGTCTTAAAACAACACTAATTCGCAAGCCGGCGGACGGGTGTTTAGGTCACCCAAAGCATATGTATGCTGGGATCGCCTCATCTCTGTTTGACATAGAAGAAAAGAAGGTAGGAAGACCGCCCGAAAGGGTGCAGTAAACCAATTGCTTTGCATTGAATACCCGAAGCGGTTAGTCAAACTTCAGTTGCGGCGAATTTATAGCCCACATCCACCGCGTACTACGAGGTAGATTGAAACGGGAAAAATTTTTATGAAGGGGGAACTTCATAGACCATCTGTAGATGAATGTGTTTCTCAAGAGGGGCCAAACGCTCCTCTCAACACTGGTGCACTTGAAGGATGCACTTATCGCAGATAGGACAACTAATTGCGTCTACAAAATTAGTGGCGAAGATTGCGCACACATGTACATCGGCCAAATCGCAAGAGAGCTACGCACGAGCATAGCAGAACACAAGAAGCACATAACACGGTCAGCGAGGAACAAGTTTGGATACAAAGCTCTCTCAGTAGCCTATACACGCGATAAATGCAGTCCATGCGTTCGACTTGTATAGCGTCGAGATTCTTATGAAGAGGTTACAATCAACATCCCAACGGCTGACTGCTTAGGCGGTTGAGCGTGGCAAGATGAACAACTGCGTGAACACCCCACGACCGACGGTCTCGTCCTAGTTTTGACTCCTCAAGTACAGATAGCCGAGCTTGGAGTGGAACTCGGCGCATAGTGCTTGGCGGCTATCGCCATGATTACTAGATCGTTGAGTGGTTCTCAAAACCATCTGAAATCACAAGTTTTCAATCGGTTCCAAGCATCAAGATGTAGTAATATGTATATTATCACCGTTACGAATGGAATGGATGCTCAGTTTGGTTACCTATCGGCATCAAAACCCGGTGCCATTTACGGGGTTGACGACGTTAGCTCTGATGATCATTACATATTCCTTCAGCTGCTCAGGGACCGCGAAGGTTTACTTACGGCAACGCAGCTTTCCGCCTCAGCCTCTCGCATCGCCTTACTACTCACGCAACACAGATTGAACTGTGATTGAACAAGCTGCTACTAGCCGCAGACAGTGCACCTCAATCCTGGACTGCGTTGCACGTGCTAAAAGGGGACGAATCACGTCTCAGTACACCGGCACATTGTTTGTTCTCTCCTCCATTGTCAAATCCTCGGTCTCAAAATCCATTGCGTATGTGTCACTTGAACTCCGTAAGCCGCAAATCAGGGTCTCGGTTCTCTTTGGCTAAGCGAGCGTCGATTCGAAGCGCCTCCAACGCTTTCGCTCAACAAAAATAGCTTCCTCAGGTTAAAAACTATAACCGAACAGAACGGCTGGGACTGAGTAACCGCTTTGCGATAGAGGTCGGTCCCATCGGGTTCACACGATCACCTAGGCTGACGGCCCCTTTTGACTACTGCAGTAGCTGAGGTGATGGATGACGTTTATGCACATTCCCATCGGCTGTACCACTGCGACGAACATTTAACGGATGAGTTCAGCCTATCCACTATGTCACTGTGGTTTTCTGAACCACTTGGGCCCACCTAATCACATCCTCAGTTGATTTCTACTTTCGGTGGTCTCTCAATTGCTACTAAAGTACAGTGGTAAATCACTGGTGGTTGACTTTATTACTGTTTCCAAAAATCATACAATGCCCCAAAGAAGTGTTTTCGGACTGGCGATAACTACTCCCATCTTTGAACACGACTACAGAAGGGGACGTGTCGAACTCATCAGTTGATTTGCTTCCTCGTCATAACCGCCACACTCTACTCGTATCGTACCTCGTCGTCTCAGCGGTTCGCATGAAATCGAAAGCTGTAGAAACCACTGTTTCCACCCTCAGTGGAATTGTAACGTGGATCGGGACTTACTTGGAAACTTATATTTTTCAATGTCTTACCCAAGTTGCTGCGTGCACTATCTCATTGGAGTGCATTGTAAAAATGGTGTACCCTACTATCGGTATGTTGTTGTCCTTCTGCAGTTCACTGCGGACGCACTGTCGATCCCCTTTTACTGTACCGAGCGTGCATTTTAAGTCACTTAATCATCCAGAGGCAACGGGACGCCAATAGGCTCATCGTTTTCCCGAATACTTCCCAGAGATTCATGGCGAATTTGAACAGAAGTGGATAACAGTGAACATGGCCCAGTGTTGATCGCTGAAAGGTGACAAATAATCACCGTAAAAACGCGCACGGTCTCGGGTTTGAGAATAAATTGCATGAAACTTACTGACGAACATTTCGGTCACTTCACCTAAATGTAGCCAAACTTACTGTGTGTCATGATGTTCGCTGATCCAATCGTCACACTTGGGAGTTTTACCCAATTCCTCTAGAATACTTTCACATTTGAATGCACCGTGGGAATCGTATGCTCACATTTTGGTTCGCTCCTTATCGCATTTTTTGCATCTAAATCAAGGAATTTATCATTTCACCCAAGAATACCAGAAGACGTAAGTTGTGAGATGACTTCTACACATATACCCTTTGACCAATGCCTCATGTTGACGAAGAATTAGTGCCTCTTCGTGCCTCTGTCGTACAGTTCCTGCATCTGACAATATAAATCTGCTTATATCTCCATTAGGCATGCAGCTGCGGCATACATTGTGCCGCCAGTCTAACTTTCTGACTGCAACTGACATGATGTCCCCTAGGATTTCCTCTGGAATTTGCACACAGGCGTTCACCCACAGCTGCTTAGATTAATCAAACAACGGCAATATGCAGCTGATCAATTGTCGCTGGACACCAATTATGTTCCGTTCGCTTCTTCCTCGTTCCCATGATTATCCTTTAAGGTTTTCGGGGAATATCAATTCCACGAGGTTAAAAACTGCACGAGAAGTGTCCCAAAACGCACAAATCACCTCGATGCGCTTTCGCAGCTGTTGCTTATTGGCTTTCGAGTCAATACACTAGCGTGGTGGTAACACATATTTCTTTCATTCCATCCTATTGGATGTCACACGAACACGTGTTCATTAGCCATAATTGAAGTGCGTCCATGAAAACAGACCATTCCCTAGTGACCACTTGTATTGCTACGCCTGAAACTGCGGATGTTCGATCCGGTGGGTGGCTACTTACTACAAGCCTGTCTTATTCCACGCCAGCTTAAGTTGAATCGTTTGAAGAGCTTTGGAGGTGTTCTTTCCTGTTGTTATGAAATTGCCGACCAGTGGTCATACGTGATAGCCGTTTGCGCGAGTCTGTTTAACCACGTCTCATATGCTAGCGAATCCCCCTAAGCCGCCGGAGTATCAAAAGATGTCTCGATTCCTATTGGCTGCGACCGATGTTTCTCCGCAGGTGACTGATATCGATCATTCGGCTTGCCTGGAAAGGACCGGTCGCTTTTGGATAGCAGTAGTTGACGTGTTTGGCTGCAAATCGTTCTCCCAGATTTTTGCTTCTCTGTTATGAATTGTTTATTGTGACCAAATTGCTTGTACGGATTTCTCCCCATGGTACTCAGCTTAGATCTGCCTCCGTCCACCTAGTATGTATGTCACCGTTCGCCTTCCGTACCCTGTCGTCCTATGCCTACCAAATTTGGCGGTATTGTCAGTCACGATATCGTATTGATAGACCTAAAACTTTCGCAATTGGCATCCCATTGAGTCTTCAGTTCTGATTGCTGTTTTTCAGCGCGTTTCTTCCGCACAACCACCCGCCTCCACCACGCTCCATCAGGTTGCTTCCTCCACTTGGACGGCAATGAAGAGCGCCCTGGGTGAGTTGGAGGATTCCACCAGCGACGAAGAACCGACGGCGGGCGAAGCTCGCTGGTGGTCCACACGCGCTTCCAAATCCCTTCGTGACGCTAAGACAGACGACATGCACTCGTCGCCTGATGCACTCGCATCCTCCTCCTCGGGTGACGACGGAGGAACTTTCGATGAATACGTCAGTCAGTTGGAAAAGGAGTTGTTTGATCAACCAGTCAACGTTGGTCGGTGCGTCACCTCCAAATCCCCTACTGGATATCATTCTGTGCTCGCGAGAAATAGAGATGGTATTTCCGACCGGAAGGTAAATGTGTTGTCAAGTTAGCTCCGATCCATTTCAACCCCCTTGCACAAAGCTTTGCTCCCACTACACTCGCTCATCTTCCAGTGTCTACCTCGAATGCTTGTAGAATACTACTCGTTTGAGATATTTAGATTTTCTAACCGCCTTACCGTTGGTAAGTCAGGTCAAGATTGTGCTTTATGCTCTCGGGACGGATGGGTGTTCACTTGCAGTGCGCACATCTTCAGCACTGATACCAGAGAAAAGCTGTCACAAGCGAATACTAGTAAAATGCGATACAAAAGATCATAAACAGGGATGCCATCAGACTTGTCACATTTGCGAACCCCTTCATCAGTGACGAAGGTTAAAGGAAACCAACGAACTGTAGGCTCGTCTACTTAATTTACCTTACTGCGGCTCGCTCCTGTGACAGGATGAGCCGACTTCATTAATGTCGCGGATTGCTGTTGCCCAAGCGCGGCGATCAGCGGCAAACTACACGCAGATACTGCTCCACTGATTTCGTCAGTGATGAGCACCATGCACAACCTGGAGTCCCAGAAGATCGATATCCGGTTTGACTGCAGCGAGCCACAATTTCAGTTCTCCGTCACGGCGACGACACTAATCGTAGAAAGGTGAGGCAAAACCACGGCCTTATTGAAGTCAGTGTCTGGTCTGCAGAGGACGTATGAGGGTATTCGAAAGCTTTTGTGCCCTATTCTCCTCGAGGGAACTGAAGCGCATTGGTCAGCTATGTTACGGTACACTGTTTCCTCTATGCTAGCGAATGTGTAGGTGGCCACTCTCAAGTCTTTGTGGTTTAATTCAGCTAATTCATCATGGCTAATCTCAATCAGCAGTCTTAGGCTAGTCTGGAAAAGCATCAGACGCCGGCGTTTCAACCTTCTGAGTCTCGTCAGTGGTGCGCCTCCCAGCGGAACCCTGCCGAGTTCCGCCCTCTTGACTTCTAGATGCCAGCAGCTATTGTCACTTCGCCATGGGGGCCAGCCGCAGACCTGCCTGATTGACAGTTGACTATGATGTAGCCAGGCTCATGCAAGTTACGAACTGTGCAGAGGATAGTGGCTAGCCTCACGAGCTAGGACTTTCCGCATAGCACCACTGCACGGCACAAAGACCTGTAAGCTATACGGACAGACTTGTTTTTATATTAGGCATGAGTAGTGAGGATTTTGGCATAATTCAGCTAATTCGTCATTGCCATTCTCAATCAGCAATCTTTGTAGTTTCCCTGTTTGATAATCTCACCAAATTTAACAAACAACTCTCGACAATCGAAATTGCACCAGTGGTCCTCTGCTCATTGTTAGTGCATACGTTCTTTCTGACTAGTTTCCTTACTGTTCTGTGGATTGATGAATTGGTGGTTTTGCTAAATCTGAATCTTTGGGGATGTTTCTGTTTCGGCGCACAAACGCGATATTGTCCCTTTGACGAACGTTAGTTTGTCGCACAAGGGGATCAACCTGGCAGTTTGTGTGAATTCCGCGATCGGATACGTCTGACACATTTCCAAATGTTATTCTCTCCTTGCGTGTACACGTAACGTTTTCCACTCCTATTGTACTTACCGGGATTTGGGGTTCTCCATACATAGAGTGGCGTAGCGTGTTGCCTGTCTTGTAGAATTTGAGTGCGCCCTGCATTTTGGATGTCTTTGTCCCAATCGGTTTCAACGGCTGTATTGCTGAGGTTGATGTTGCATACATGATGCTTCTTCCCCGCAGTTGGGATAAACCAACATACACAAACCAGATCTTTTGAATCTGGATAAAAGTTATTCCACTTTATTTGATTTGTTCAGTTCTGTTCTTTTGCTGCATCTTCTGTGTCAATTTTGTGTGTTTGTTTTCCCTCAAATTTTTTGTTGGTTGTTTGATATCCCCGGTGTAGCTGCGCTTGATGTCTATGTTGACAACGTGCCTACCTGTCTAACACCATCTACCTCGATTGCTGACTACAAGAGACTGAATCATTGTTGAAGGCTTGCACGGTCCTCATGTCCGTGCTAGTCACGTAGAGTGGTTCCATGCATCTAGCTTAGAAAGGATTACGGTCCAACCACCGTCTTGTTTGTGCTTGCTTTCCCAACTACAGCGTGCTTGTGTTTTCCTGTGAAGGAGTGTGGGCCGGCTCCGTTGATGGAAGGTGGCTCCCATCCACATGTCTCCCGATCTTCTTCCTTCGGGTTTACACTGGATATGTGGTGTGTGGATGGATCTGTGCGTGGTGCAGCGCAAACCACCCATGGTCCCTCTGTAGGCTCAGGCGTCCTGTGGCTGTCCCGTGGAGGCCGCAGTGACAGGCAAATCCGGAACCGGATGCCGTCAACTATTGCGACTAGTGATGTGACCATGTAACGAGAGAATCTGGAGCTTCCTTACCACTTGGTTCTCCACCAATATGTTATTCTCCGGCGTTTTGCCTAGCTGGAACTTCCGTTTGTCCCCTAGAATTGACTCCATCTCCGAAATGTAGTCAAGCCTGTTCATTGTTACAATGCCCGATCCTTTATCCGACTGTAGAAACATTGCGTGTCCGATTTGTTTCAACTTCCTGATGCTGCCACTTCCCGTCTAATCTTCTTTAAATTTGACTGTGTGGTGATGTCATCTCTGCGTGATTTTAACGATTTGCTACTCTTCTTCTAGCCGGCACCGTGTATCGTCTCAGAATGATTTAGTATCATTCTTCCATGTTGAAGTTCTAGGTGTTCTTTAAGTCGACCCAAACACCGCTTGATAGCTCGCCGTCACATTTTCTCTGTTGTTCCCATGTACTTTTCTCATTGTTACAGAAAGCTCGCCGAGTCCCGATGAATGTTCCTTTGGCTATGCCGGAGAACGCAGATTCGCTTGATCAAAGTGATCAAAGAGCTGATTGTGATATGGAAGCAAATGTTGGTAGCTCAGGTTGTTCAGTTGGTGGACTGGGTGTTTGCTGAGCTCGACAGGTTGACTGCAAACGTTTCGTCACCACTCGAGGTGACATCATCAGTGCGCGTGTCGTGTGTTTGTCGAACAATCCAAGCTCAGACTAGCTGCTAGGAGATCGATCACTCAGATTCACGGACACTTCGTACGCGCCACTCTGCTAATTGCAAGCGCACTGATGATGTCACCTCGAGTGATGACGAAACGTTTGCAGTCAACCTACCGCGCTCAGCGAACACTCACTCCACCAACTGAACAACCTGAGCTACCAACATTTGCTTCCATATCGCAGCTATTCGGGCGTACAACGCTTCAGAAAGCTCGCCGTTGAGAAAACTTTGCCAGTCGACGCGCTTCCACACGCGAACAGCTATACTTCCTCCACGAATGTCTCAGACGGAATGTTCTGCCACCAATTGGCATAGTTATCACCTCATGGGCGATATCGGTTAACTTGTTTCTGAGCCAAATATGCTTATCAGGGCTGGTTATTTGGAGCGCCATAAACTGGTCAAAAATGTTCCCGAATTGGGCTTCTATAAGCAAGCCGTCCAACTTCCTAGGGGGGACTTTGTAATCAGGCCCAAGTGATAATGCTTCTAATTGCAACGCATCAAGTTGTACGTTCGATAAATTCATCACGTACTTACTGGGATCACGAACAATTGGTTCCTCCTCCTGGTTGGTCGTCAGCGAATTTTCTAAACGAGCAGAGCGATTTCGCCTCGTACGATCAAGAGTTGATTTACAAAAGTTAGTGAAAACAATCCGGCAACACAGAGACAGATCCTCGACAACGGGTAGTAAGCGTGCATGACTTTCTAGCAGTTCCGCAAGTTTGCTTTCAGCCGTGGACTGCTCTCCCAGAATCGGTAATCACTGCACTGACACTAACGATATTTAAAAGACAGTTGAACTACGTACTCATCCACTTCCACTTTGTCACTTGACGCTACGTCTCTATCCTACACCTGGAGTTTACCATGGATTTATTTGATGTTAACTGTGCGTGCCGTGAATCTAAGCGGATTGCTTGACTTCAACGGAGCAAACGTAAAGTCCTTATTTCCTATTTGAAGTACTAACTGTTTTACTATTATTATTATTATCATTATCGTTATTTCGATATTCCCAATAACTATCCAACGGGACTCGTAAAGCAAAGCATCTTAACCTGTATAAATTCATTGTTCATTGTTCTTAACCCGTATAAAATCGAAGTGCATTATTCCTTTTACTAGATTTTGCGTTCCACGTTGAGATGATGACCACTCCTTAGTAGGATGTCCATACACCGCTGCACCACATTCGCATATTTGCATCACCCAAACGTGGTTTGTATAATGAGACTTTCAAATTGTATGGCAAATGGAAATGAAGATACGATCTATTTCTCCAGAACATCACGGTCAGCAAGGAGGACAGTGGATTTATTGCCGTTTAACTTGCTGAATTGGGCATTTTCCGGAAAGTTCGCGGGCAACAGATTACGCACACTTAGGTGAATCCCATTTTCGAACAGTAGATTGAACAACATTGACCATTCAAACCTTACCATCACAATCTAATAATCAAGAGAGAGAAGCTGTACGGAATTACACTTTTGGTCGAATGCAGACCCTATAGAATGAACAAGATGTGGCAGTGTATGCAGGGTACAGCGCTGGGTTATTTATCCAAATCGTTATATATATATACATATATATATATATCCAACACGGGTGGCTCTGAAAATGCACGGAATTATCAGATTATCGAAGCATTTCTGAAACGTAGATGTGCACGCAATCGGGCAATACGTAAGAGATCCATGTTTGGGCACCGATCTCCAAAGGTCTGGAAACCAAGCCATCATGAGACATTTACTAACTGGATCTGTTACAATTCATGAGAGAAAACCAGCGCATTACTTCAAAGCTAATGGTGAGTGAGCAACTGGCTTACTAGCTTTGTCTGAGCTCTTCTGCTTACCATGTAACCCTCGAGTTAGTCGAAGAACGCAGCTAGACTTGAGATAATAAATCAGAGCAAAGGCAATGTACTTGTTAAGGCGGAGCTAAACAGCAATTAGTTTGCACACATCCACTTCACCACACTGGCCGCAGACGCACTTGTCACAGTGCTGTCTGGAAAGCTTCTATAGATCACGACAGTTATGGTTGTCTAGAATCGTCTCGATGTGATAGTTGTTTATTCTCTTTATCTCATGGAGTCAGTCCAATATCTCATCAGTAATCCATGCACGATTATTACAGATCAGCGGTCCGTCTCGTTCATGTTCAACCTCAACCAACAATACTAAGATCAAAAATGACGAAATTTAGCATTGGTATATTGAACTCTGCAACAATTATCTTCTGTTCTACAGGACCGGGAAAGCTAATGTGGCCGCCGACGCCTTATCGCGTACTTGTTGTTTATCCCAGCCGCTTAACCTGCCACTTCAAGAACAGCTTGATACCTTTTGCCACCCATGGTCACTAGATTGTTTCATTTGATTCGTTTACGGAACATATCTTTCTCTGTTGAGGAAGTGAAATCAATCACATCTCGCTACAACATAGATACTGAACTTACGTCCCGCTTTTACAAGCCATCTGGAACGCTCATTAAGGCAACGCGCTCCTTCGAAAGGTTGAACGTAGATTTTAAGGATTCCTTACCATCATCGACCAACAAAAATGTCGTGTTCAAATGCTTGCTTTCTTTTTGCCTTCGATGCGCTTATCCTACTCACACTTATATTTAGCACCCGTTGGCCCAGCCATGTGCTCTTGCATTTGATTGGTTGCAGTGTGAACCGCTATCGATTTAATTGTACTGCGCGTGTGTGCAGACATTTTTCTCCATACATACGTTCCGGTGCTACTCTGATCTGCTGCTTTTCACGGTACAACAAATCGGCGTCGCGTGGTACCGATTTCTTTACAAGCTAGTGCCCCTTCACCGCTCTGGACTGACTCTGCGGGTTACCCAAATACCGAATACTGGCAAAGTGGAAAGTTAGTTTTTCAGATTATATTTCTGTGCTACCAGTTCTCAATCCATCCGTGACACTGAAAACGGTGGATATTTGGCTTTTGTGCTTGCACCTCTCGACGTATATTTGATACTTTAAACTTGTGGAAGAAACCCACGTTGACAGAGGCCTTACCGGCCCTCGACAAACATTCGATACACTTTGCGCAACGATCATTCTGCTCTTACAACGCTACTAAGTCGCGGTAACAAAGGCCAAAAGCCGGTACGCTTGAGTCGCTAGTACTAACATTTATTGAACTATGATTCTGAAATACCATACTTGCCGGGATGCTTTAACCAACATGCAGATACCGTGTCGAGACTCTCACTGTCCAACGAAGCTGAAAACGAGGACTTAGAGGAGGTAAAAATGATATCGCAGCTCCTAGACGGAGCACCTACAATAATATTTGACCTGATACGAGAGCACACTGACAAAGACGCTGTCCTAGCGAATCTTTGGGAGTACATATCTATTTTATGGCCCAGTCATACCAAAATCCGACTCGAGTTCGTCCCATACTAATCCCTGCGGCATCAGCTTCCTACTGTGAGCAACTGCATTATTAGAGGCGAGCAGATTGTGGTCCCTGCAACCCTTATTCCTCTGGTGGTTGCGTGTGCGCATGAAGGTCATCCAGGGATTGTGCGAACAAAAGATCGGATACGGCAATACTATTGGTGGCCGAAGTTGAATTCCATACTTGAGACTGTTATTCGGGAACGTTACGCCTACCAACAATCCGATAAGAGTGTGAGGCCCCTGAATGCTCCAGTCAAACCCATCATGTCCTCAAGGAAGCCATGGGCAAAAATTGCCATCCGTATTATGGTCCCGTTGGGCAACGCACCCCGGGAGAAGCGAAACTTGCTAGTGGCTACCTGTTTTTACAGCAAATGGCCAGAGGTTATTCTATGCGGGGACCTAACTACAGCCGTCATCATAAAGCGGTTCTTCCGTTTGTTTGCAAGGTACGGTTTGTTAGAAGAAATAGTCACTGATAACGGCCCACAATTTCGAACTAATGGGTATGCTGAATTCCTAAGGCGCTATGTTATCATACACACGAGAACTGTACCTATTATTCCTGCAGCAAATGGACTCGTTGAAAGACTTAATGGTACTTTGAAAGTAACGCTACAAGTCCTTCGGCTTTCGACAGAATCCTGGGATGATGCGTTGGTACCTGCGTCGTAGGTATACAGAACCACCCCACATACTGCAACTGCAAGAACCCCCTGGGAACTAAGGCTAGGACGAACAATTCGAACTCGATTAAATGCAGCCTTTACATCCGAGGAAACCGCCGATCACAGAGAATACGAAAGACGGGCTATTTATTAGGCTAAATGTAAACGTGTTGTGAAAACGTATCCTCAAGTGACATTTGTTCTTGTAAGACTATCCAATTCTAACTAGAAGGGAGTAACGTATTCGGACCGCCTACTCGTGTGGAACCCATGCGCACGCCAGGAAGTTAGAAGATGGCTGATGGGGTAAAGGTGAGTGCAAGACGACTGCGTACAACGTTTTCCCAACGTGCTATTAGACATAGGAACACACGTACAACACAGCGCTCGGTACAAACTAATAGAAAGTTGCGACCTTCCGGTCGGATACGCCGCCCTATCTACCGATACACCTTAACGGATAACACCACATGACAATTCTTTCGGGTGCTGACATTAAATTAGGTGGTTCATGGACATGTAGTGTCCATACTTTTACGAACAATGGGTGACAATGTCGTGTTCAACTACTTTGCTTTCTTTTTGCCTTCGGTTCGCTTATCCCACTCACGCTCCTATTTAGCATTTGTTGGCCTATCATGTAATCTTGCAGTTGATTGGTTGCAATCTCTCGATTTAATTGTACTGCGCGTGTGTGCAGACATTTTCCTCCATACATACTTTCCCTTGCTACCCTGATCTGGTGCTTTTTCGG